GGCTTTTTACTTCATCAAATGCACACTGTGACCTGCCCATTAGCATGGCTTTTCACAATCTAGGTGCTTTAGGAGCCTCTAACGATTGCAATCCGCTCCTCGTTACCCAAGACCCTCCATCCACATGGTCCAGACTGACAACCCTCGCCGCAGTGTGCTTGAGTCCTGCCACAGAAACCAGCCTGACTACAGCAGCCTCCTTGGGACCATGACCCACAGACTGTGCCCTTGTGCGCAAGTCCACACGTTCCATCAGTCGTCTCTCCCCCACTGATGCAATCGCCGGACTGACATCCGCTACCGCAATGAGCATCGCTGTTTCCACACCATCCAGCACTTAAAATAGGTTATTAGTGAGTAGTGTTCCCAGCTTAGGCCTGAATCAGACAAAAGAACTCAACGAAAAGGTAGGCGAACCTTGAGCAACAGTTGCCCTGAGGCCAATCTCCGCAGACTGTGTTTCCACTTGCGTGGCCACAAGTACCGTCCGTAGTGTTCGTAGGCTCCAGACCACTGGTGTTTGTCAGAATCGACGACCCAGATTTGATGCCAGGCTGCTAGAATGCTTCTTACCTTCCGGCACCCGAGTTGAAGTCCACACTCCATGCCATGGTTCCACCAAAACACTGATTATCTGCCCACGCCTTCTTCTCCTTGATGGTATCTGCATCGTCGTAACCAATCCACTGATCATCCCATGTGATTTGCTTCATCATGGCGTCTGGCAAGTATTTTGGTGTCAAGCCCTTCTTCTCAATCAACTGCTCAATCTCGACCAACGACATCACGCCGTCGCTGTTAGTGCAGACACCGGCCTTGCTCGGACCCTTGAAAGAGCACTCGAGGTCGTTGCAGCTTTTGTCAGTTACCGTGTAACCACGCCCGTAAAGCGCAACACCAAAGTTAATCTTCGAGGGATCCAGCTCTGCAAACCACAAGGGGAGGGCGTCGGTGGCTATGTCGCGGATATCGGCCTGGCCACGGACGATGGAACCGAGTGTTTTGACGTCTTGGTCCCAGAAGCCGTGGAGATCTTTGGTGTTGGGCACGGTCAGCCGAGGAAGAATACCCAGAAAGTAGCCAAGGAACAATTAGATCAACTCACCATATGCCATGAAGCCGAAGAAGTCCACAGAACTCTCCATTGCCTTGGCATCGAAATAGCGCAGATACCAGTAGTCAGGTGCGAGAGTTAGACTAATGCCATATGCGCCATTGAAAGCAGCATGCATCTCTTGAACGAGATATACGAGGTTCTGGGTATCCTCCGGGTTGCCTCCGCGCTCGGAGGCGACAGGATACTCCCAGTCAATATCAACACCTTGGAAGCCATACTGCGGCAAGAAGATCAACAAAGAGTTGATGAAGGCTGTGCGGCTTTCTTTACTTGCAGCTAGCTTGCTCCTGGTGGGCCACTCGTCAGAGTCACGTTCTGGTACCGGGAGTTCGGCAGACTTCAATGGCTTACCATGTCCCATGTGTTGCCTTGTTCGGATCACTGAAGTCAAAGCCACCAACTGCAATCCATCTGACAAAGGAAACAGATCAGCATATGGTAGATAAGTTGGTCTGGGTAGGAGTCAGACTCACGTTTGCAGTCCTCGACTCTTAAGTGCCGCAAACTCTGAGTAGAGAGCGACATCCGCAGGATCTGCGGGGGTCACGGCAAAACTATTCGGATCGATAGACGCGAAAGAATAATAGAGATGGGTGTATCCGTTGCTGGCGATATCGCTGGGGTAGATGTGGTTACACAGACGATCGCGGGTGTTGGAGCCCTGATAGTAACCGATCGTGCGACCGTTAGTAGTGCCGCTTCCGACCCCACAGGTACGACCGGACTTGACTTCACATGAGCCGAAGCCGGCTTGGCACGGAAGAGTGGCACCTTGAGGATCGGCATTGCCGCAGTAAGTTTCCGTGGTCTGAGAAGGGTTAGCACAGGCATGTCGTTTTGGCGGGCATAAATCAGTCAAGTACTTACTCCACACCAGCCCATGGCGGAACAGCACAAGTTCATACCGCACTTGACCTTGCCGCCCTCACTGTACTTTCCACACATAGCTGTTGCTGTGCAGCCTGATGTGCACTAGAGTAGCACCGGCATGTCAGCATCTTAACAGGAAACAATGGACACTTCTGATTGCCGCATATCCACAGGGACTCACTTACGTTTCCCTTGCCGCAGTATTCTGGGCCATATCCACAGGTCCCTTTTGTGCTGCAGCAACTACACAAAGTACCATTAGCAATTGCGAAGTTACGGAGCTTTGAGAAGTCCACGAGAGTCTCAATCCGGATGATGGTCCTACCTTTTGTCTGCACAGGTCCCATCGCTAAGACACTTCGTTGCATCTCGGCGGGTGATAGGCGAATCTGCGAATGAATGACCATCGTGGCCGGCATACAGAGTGTCGATAAGCTGTGGTGGTGTAAGTTGAGGGTGCTGGTGTGTCGGGTCTCTGCTCCTTGAGCTTTCGGCACGGGTGTCTAGGTTGTAGCCTTGGTTTGTGTTGTCTGGCAAGAGACAAGTCAGATGAGCCCAGCCAACTCAATGAACATGATAACACATACCATAGGTTATCTCATCTGCGAATGTCAACTCGGGCAGATACGCTGCCTGGATCGTCTTCACGAGCGGATTCGTGAGAAGCAAAGCTGAAAGCAAGCCTGCAGCTTTGGGAGAAAACATATTGAACGCAATAGCCAATGATGCCGATGGTCTCCACTCGAGGTGAAAAATCAAGTTGATATATACTGGACGGTGATATACCACGCCCGCGTCTTCTTCGTCTTAAGAAAGACTGCTGCCATGGATGGTTCGAGGCAATGCTCAACCTGGTCCATTTCTAACATTGATTTAGTGTGAATGCCCCACCACAAGATCATTTCACCGTGCATGCTGGTGCCATGGACGGCATGCAAAAAGCTGATGCCTAGTGTAACTTCATTTTCTAGGACGTTGCCGACATATCCGGTAGGCTCATTGAGAGACTTTCCGAGCTGAGAAAAATTCTCCGACCTCGTATCATTGTTAGGGATTGTGGATGGTCATACTCTCTATCCACAATGCTTGATGTCTTTCATTCCACTTTGTGGGTTTCCCAAACACTACACGTCTATGTTCTGATTGGCCCGCTCGGTCTCACGATGAAAACGGCCCGCGTCAGATCAGCCAAGTGATCCAATAATGCTTATTTGACCCTGCCATGATACCCTAGATACTTAAAAGTCTTTGCCTTGCATCTTCTTGAAATCTAAGCTTTGCCTTGGGGATCCTGATAGGGCCGCTCGGGCTCTCCCGCTCTGAGCTCCCTGCACCGTTGCGGATATCGCGGGAGGATCACCTCAAACAGGCAGTTCGGTTCTTCAAGTGGATTATAAAATAAGCAACGTTACGCAGAGGGCAGGCCTACGGAACATCGCACGTGGAGAAGGAACCCAGCGCAAACGCGATCTTGGGCAGCTAGTTAGGTCGGTGAATTCGCCGTTCGTGGCTAAGATACCGGGAATCACGGCAGGGCGGGCGTCGACCGAAATTAGAACCATGGAAGTTTCGAGTCTGGATCGTCAAATTTGTGTTTAGCGCTTACAATAGGGAAGACTTCACGATCAGCTGATGAAGAGGGGATGTAAGGAGTAAAATGCCTCGGTAGCAATGAGAGGATTGGGGATCGGTCCACGGTGATTTCGGCCGTGCAGGCAATTTGCGAGTGGGTCGCAGCCTGGGGCTTGTTGTACGAGCGGTGCGTCTAGAAGTATGATGCCGAAGCCATTGGGAAAGCAGAGGCTGGCAATCATTTAATACATGAGGGTCGTGTATGACGATAGGCAGCTTCTGGCTTTGTAATTTGCTTCACAATCAATGACTCCATCTTTACACTCTCGCTCAAGATGTATCCCGCTGTCATTGCCGGCTTCTCCCTGATATGGTGTAAGTTTCCATTATATTTCCTAGGCCAACTCGTGATTTCGCAGACCTGCCAGCTATACGCACGCTGTCATATCACATTAGTCTGTGATGTTCATATCCCGGTAATGGTTGCTAATGTAGTCCTCAAAAGATGATTCCTTCACTCGGTATACCACTGACCCGTCTTCCGCGCCTTACAAACAATGGGATGGAATCAAGGTCGAACCGAATGCCGGAACCGGCGAGATTCAGTTTTACGATACAACCGAAGATCTCACCTATGTTCTGTCATATCCCCCAAGTATGCCAGGGAACAACGAAGACCAGCTGTTCATCCTTCCACAACACAAGGACGGCAGGTGGACATCCACTCGGCTCGAGGGAAAGGCTGCTCATGGGTGTCCAGACGGCAAGTCTCTGATTTTACAGGCTGAGCTCCGGGCAGGCAATGCTTCGTCTGACAAGCAAGGTGGCGTCTGGCCGGCATTTTGGGCTCTGGGTGAGAGTCGAAATGATGGCGTCGAGTGGCCTCTGTGTGGAGAGTGGGACATTTTCGAGGCTTCCGATGGGCACGACTGGAGTCTTGCATCGCTTCATTGGGGCGTGAAGAATGATGCCGGTGAAATCGAGAAACATGATGCTCCATCCGGTAACACCAACGACCGCCAGCACAAATTCGACCATACCCAGTTTCATACGTGGGCGTTGAAGGTTGACCGCACGAATTCTAATTGGAAAGACCAAACAATTCAGTGTATGTGGACATGTGGATTGACCATCCAAAAAGAGCCGATTGGACATCTACTAATGATATATAGGGCTCATGGATGGCGAGAGGTTTGACGAGGTCAAGGGAAGTGATGTTGGCACTGAGAAAGAATGGTTGCTTCTTGCTGAACAAGCCTATTATCCTGTCTTGAATGTCGCAATCGGGACAAACTTTCCCGGGCATGGAGCTGTCAGTCACTCAACATCAACTGGACTGGATACTGGTATGGTGGTGAACTATGTAGCGTTTTACGTTTCTGATTAGCGGTCTATTGCCCTGCATTTACAGTGCCAAAACCTTTTGATCTCTCATCAGACTTTAGCTCGCAGAATAGACAGACTATTTGATTAGCTATAACGAGAACAAAATAAATCGTGACCTATTTGACAGGTATTTGACATTTGTATAGTAGGGAAATTACATTTATTGATGCTCAATGTGAGATCCGCCTCTTATAGGCCCCTCGGTGAGCTCCTGCTCCGAAGAAACTAACCTAAATAACCAGGGGCGTCGTCCTCACCCGAGCGAGCCCCCGCACTCCTTTGTTTCCCTGGCTCTAATGGTATATCGCTGTTCGAGCTCCTGGCCTCTGATGGCTGACGTCTACGACTCGAGTTGATGAGAGTTGATCGGAAATCGACACGCTCCCTCCGACCTCCGCTATTGACGTAGGCAGAAGAAGATGGATGTGAGTGATCCTTTGAAGTTTCATGTCGTCCTCGTACATACAAGTAAACCGCTCTGGAAAGTGCAAGATTCGCGGCGACGATACCAAGAAACAGTTCGAGGTTAGACCAGATGGCGACAATACAAAATGTCCAGCTGAGATCATCGTTCGACACTCCCAAGAATGTCGCCCGAGTAATTCCGAAGGCTGACGCGACAAGGCCGAGACTCATCAAGCACATCACCAAAATCTTCTTCCGAGGAGGTATGTTGACTTTCCATATCAATGTCAAGGGGATGAACGACAGTATGAGATCGGTCAGAACGGAATGTGCTGGATTTGTCTTTTTAGCATTCAGATGTAACATCTCATAACGAGAGAGTGTGATTTGCACTTATGCGAAAAGAGCGACAAGACAACAATGGAACGCCCGCAAGACTCACCTATGGTAGCGTAAATCCAGTAAATCCGAATCTTGTTTGGCCAGCACTGTGCTGATGGTCCTCTCCAGAACCCTGCCGGTCGGCATTCCGCCAAGAGAACGACCACAACGCCCATGTTTGTCACCAGTACCCCAGCGATGATGGTGTGGATGAATATTCGTAGCCCCTTCTTATCATTGAGCCGGAGGACCAGCGCGCAGATAGAGCACTTGAGACATGCCATCGACGTGAAGTGGAACAGCTGTCCATACCAGCCGTACATGTTGATCATCTTGTAGTCGTAGTCGCTGAGATACATACGGTGTCTTCCATTGCCGTGGGGTAACTGCATAGCTGCGATGGCATATCTGACAGTAGCGAATATTGCAGCCAAGGCAATAGTCGCATCGTCCCAGCCGAAGTTTCGACGAGCTATGCGGACCCAAAGGCGAAGGGCGGTGGTGATGAAAAGAAGAACGAGAAGGGTTGTCGATACGGCTAGCCAAACAGGCCCGACCGTTTCATCTGGGGGCATCTCAATATCTCGGGCATTTACGCCTGTAGTGGAAAACAGAGGAATGCCCATGATTTTGGCCGTTAGGAATAAAGGCAGGAAAACAGCAATGCAATGCTCAACGTAGGCTACGACATCATTCTAGCATGAGAGTGAGGGAAAGGTTCAACTGGTGCCGAGTGCGCATCAAATCGCGCCGTCTTCCCTTTATCAATGAATTTCATTTTCGCAAAGCCAACGTCAGGAGAAAGTGAGCTGGAAGCGTGTCCCAGGACGCTGGTTCGTGTCTGGATGAGGGGCAGCCACGGCCGAGTGCGAGCCAGGGTGACGGGACAGTGGTAGAAGCCATCAACGCCTAAAGGCTGGCTGGAATATGACCAGTCAGTTTCCGAAAGCTCTAATCATTAATATGGTGACTGCAAAAGGTTACCAGGCTTCTGGTATCGGCCAACGTTTAAGGCGCGACCCAGCCTCGAAAAAGAAAGCACCGACAAGAGGTGTGGAGTTCCTCCAGGTTTCTTCCAACAACATGGGGGGAGAAAAAGAAACCAGGATGCGACGGCTCCAACACGCGGTCTTGGCTGGAAAACAGTGTGATCCGGCACATTGATCTGGGCCATGTTTGGCTTAGTCTCTCTGGGAAGGCAATGGTTCAGGGTGGATGACGCGAGAGTTCGGCTTCATCAGGACGGGATACTGGCTTTTCGGGGTGGGAATCGTGATCAGGTTGCCGTTGACACGCTTGTCGAATCTCGTCGGGACCTCTCGTCAAAATGCGTTGGCGTCTGATGAGAATCCCCCGTGGTCGCCCATCTGCGTTTGATTTCTGTTCATGCGAGGCGAGCGGATAAGACAGGACCGACAGGGGCCTAAGGATCTGGACTTCCAGGTTGATCACCATGCTGGCGCAGTGCAGAATAATCAGGTGAAAAGCCTTGATGTGGTGTCGAAGACAACCAACAGGCCAATGATGTGCGGCGAATATCAGTGCATTGTTGGTACTTTCGGCCGTAAGCAAAGGACTGGCTCGCACTTCATGCCTGCTTGCTTTTTTGGCATACCAGTGGGCGAACCTGGAGAAGATTGATGCTGCACGTCCGGACGACTTGGCGACCGTATGCCAATCCTCATCAGTTCAGCCAGAATCTTTGTAGAAGTGATGATTGGCAAGGGACATCCAGGAGGATGACACTTGATACGGCAGGTGAAGGCCGTTGCAACATTGGGGTTTGCGCAATCCGTTGCCATTTCCCACGTTTCGGTGCTGTCCAGGGGCCCTTGGGTGTTTGTCTGATGTGCTCCCGCGTCATTGCCATCACTACAGATCACGATCAATGGGTAAAGATCCTTGCAAGATCCCAGTCACGAATCGTTTGCTCCATTTGGAAGACTCAACAATAGCCAGGCATGCGATCAAGTCTCCTGCAATTTCAAGCTAAGTACGAAAGTACGCTCAATGATGCTTACACCTCGAGCAGGCCAATGAGTCGCTTCGAGTTATCAATGAGCTTGAGGCAGGTCGGCTCGCGGTCTGACGAACCACAGAGCGAGCGATAGCTGGGTGGGCAATCTGGAGCAGGTGGCGTCTGATGCCATCGCCGCTGTCGCTGCTCAAGCCGTGAGATGAAGCCTTGCAGACATTTGTCCCGCTGCCCCTCGATACCAAAGACCTCTGCTTTTACTAGATTTCGCATCATGCTTCCCCATTGACTCGGCGACACTTCTACCTGGAAGAGCGGGGAGGCGGTAGCCACGGAAGGCTGGTTAGCCTGATCGGCACCATTGTGTATGCCAAGTTGCTTCTTCTCGCCTGCTTCTGAGGCTCGCTTCTCCTCCTCGTCGATCGACCTCACAATTCTATGATACGATTCTGCGACGCAGAGACACAGCACTCCGAGTAATGCCGCATTCTGGACGATAGAGAAGTATCGCAAAGGACACTTCTGACACGTAAGGACCTCAGATGCCGACTCGATAGTACTTCTCAGGAGGGCAAAGTCGTTCGGGGCCGTCAGCTGGTCTTCGACTCGAAGGTGCTCGAGGAGAAGATAAAGAACAGAGAGGCATGCACAACCGCATGCGGCCGGTTGAGTTGCGGTAACAATAGGGGCAAATGCAGCTTGACTCTCCGATACTATGTCTGCTCTGGTGCTTATGGGAAAAAGCAGGGTCAGCATTGCGCCTGTTGGGGCATTTGACTGAAAATGAGGGGCTACCGTGGTTGGCCCAGGTTCAGCAGGCACTGATGGATCTCGAATCCATCTTCTTCCTGGCCCCGTTCGGACGCCAGTGCTTCATCACTGCTCAGATCGCTCGTGCAGGTCTGAGAAATCTCCGTTCCTGCATCTGAGGCAGCCGTTATTGATATCTCGGAGACATTTGCTGGCGAGGGCGATTGTGGGGTTTGTTCTGACTGTATCAGCCGCCTTTGACGATTGGGTTGACGCGCGCTTCTGGGTCTTCCCATGGGTTTCTGGAGCGAGTAATGGCATTCTCTTTTCGACGCATGACATTTTGAGCAAATTGGATGCTCGCCAGGACACTTGACCTTCCTAAGTCCTGCATCATTGTTTAGCATACTGAAATACTCCGACCCGCCGAAGAAGTACATACTGCAAGCCTCGCAAGATCCACGAACGGCTTGTGTATCCGAGACCCTCCCCGTCCCTCGCGAAAGCATGATGATAGGCGATTGCGGAAGGTTTCGAATCGTCTTCGATAACACAGACCTGGGCATATGTGGAAGGGGTTGTTGGTAAGATGAGGTGGTGAGAAGGCGAAATATGTCCGAGCGGTGCGGAGACTTTTCACTTTGCTTAAGTTGAGCCGGGGTATGATGAGTAATCGTGAAGCGTAATCTTATTGGAGGAATCTATCCGCCCCCTAAGCTGGCATGGATGACGAAAGCTGCGAATCGGATATATCTCGAACTAAGTGGCATCTTGTTGGATGAGTGGGCGTTCACAGATGAGAATGTGACTTCAGCTCCCACTCGCCATTCATTGTGATGTTGCCTTAAAGCCGAACTATGCAATCGGCATCGATCTCTGGGTCACAACTCGCGAAGCATTCCTATCCCACGACAAAGGCAAACAAGTGATGTGCAATATTGTCTCGCTAGGCTATGCTGAAGTTCCACTCATCTTCTCTTTTGATAAAGCCTCCTCATAAGCTTCCATCCAAGTCGGGAAGGCGAGTTCAGACTGGTCTCGGACCTTTACCAGGACGTCTTTTCTCCATCTAGTCTCTGGATTATAAACCCCTTTTGCAGTCTCTTGATCAATAACTTGCATGTGTGTACCTGCACGCCAGAAGACACATGTTAGGTTTGGTAACCTTCTGCTCGCCATGGCTTCGGCGAGTGATTTGAAGCTTTCATCGCCATGTGACAGAAAACCATCCACATGTATCTCAACAAGAGACGCAGGCAAGAGATCCGGAAGTAATCCCGAATCTGACTGTTTTTCTCCATGTCCATCGTAAAGTGTTTCGGGCCAGACATCGCTTGCATCCAAGTTAAGGGTCTTGAGAGATGTAAAGTCGGCGAATGAGAACGCTTCATAGTCCCTTTGTGATTTTGGTCGCCAGCTGGGCCACCAAATACATCGCTGCAGGGACATGTCAAGGTACTCCAAGGTGTGTTTGTGACCCTCCAAAGCCTCTCTCACCTGCTTGGGCGATGGGCAGTAGTCTGTGGTTGATTTATAACTGAGGCGTCTCAGGCTGGGGAATCCCTTCATGACCTTCGGGAGCATTCCATCCCATGAGCTCTTCATCATGATCTGCAATGTGTCAAGCTTTTGCAGGCGCGGAAGGCTGTCTAACCCTCCTGCACTGCAGCAAAGAAGCTCAAGATTGGGTGCAGCATCGACAAACAGCCTCTCTACTGAGCTCGAAATGTGCTCGATCTCATCGTCGTTCAGTGTTTCATAATCAGAGCGCTCGTAACGGGAGTTCAAGTCAGCAACCATGTGGTCCAGCTCCATGTGCCGCACATTTGCCAGGAACGGACGCGCAAGACCAACGCCTGAGCCGGGCCTGGCGGCCCAAGTGGAGAGCGACTCAAGTTTCCAACTTCCGGGTAGACAGATGTTTGTATGAGATAGGTTTGGAAGCAGGACCATGAGAATCTGGAAGTATGCCTCGGCAATATCCCAGTCATGCCAGTCCTCCGTGATGTTGATTTCAAGGCCAACTCTGGAGGAGAGCCTTGAAACCGCGAGCTTCTGTTCGTCTGTGGCGTTTCTTGGCATGCGCTTGTCGTCTTCGAATCTGTCAAGCATATGGATGTCCAGAAACTTGACGTTGGCCGCAAGATCTGGTCTCTCGGACAGAGTTTTGGTCAAGCTCCCAAACCGATGGAGGAACGCCGAGAGAGATAACCCCCAGTTGATGTAATTATACTTAGAAATTGACTGGTAGGCGATCGGTTGAGCGACGAGGCGAGTGCTGCACAGATTCATGAGATGGTTGTCCTGCTTCTGAAGTTCACGCCTTATGCTAAGATCGCGCGTGTTCAGGCTAGGTTTGTGCATGTGAATTTCATATGGCTCCCGTCGAGGTTGGAAAAAATTGAAGATGATGACGAGAGCCTCCACAGGCAAATCGGTGAGAGAGGCCATTGTTGGCTGACTGGTGATGTTCCGACATCAACATCCGGGAGCACTCCACCCGGCCGATTGAGCTAGAGGTGCGACGACGAACCTCTTATATGTACAACTTACTTCAGTCTCAATTGTGCTCTACATCTGAGTGCCCGAGAAATCCTGTCCGAGTGGCGGGATGATTCGATCTGTGATAGGCTGACTCGCATTGATTCAAGTGAGGCCAAAATCCCGCCTCACTAAGCCACTGTCGTCACACCTCAAATCCTCTACATCTCGCGAAACCGCACCTCATAAGATAGATGCATTGTCATATAACCAGCGCAAAACACCTTGAATACTGGTTGGTAGAGTTGCTGTGTCAATGATAGGCTGAGTATCTGCAACACGGGTGCGTGGTGGTTATTCTCTGAGAAGTAAATCACCCGTACAGGCATCTTCAATAGTTGCGCGAAAATACCCCGATCGGATTCCAACCCAAACATCGTTCCCCAGGCTCGCCGCTCACTGAGCACCATTCTAATCAAATGCACTAGTACTTTTGACCCGTGACTGGGTCTCCGACGACTGCAACCTTACCATCACCTTTTGAGGAACTTTGAGACCCAACGACTGCCCGGCGCCGCAAGTTGCCAGCATCATCATGTTCGGCATCCCATAGGGCCAACTCAGAAAGCGGGACTTGAACAAGGCGATGCGTATTGGCACCATTGTCCGTAACGTCGAGGATTTCGGGTCGGATCCTGTATCCGCGCCATTTCGGAAGGAGCCACATCCACACAGCGTAGTAAAGAAAACAGATTATCAGGCTACGAAAGTGTCAATAGGCCAGCCCTTAACGACTTGGAGAGTGTGACTTACATGGCGATGCCAACGACGCAGTATGTAGCATACCAGAAGCTGACGCTGCCTGCGTATGGGCCACCCTTGGGCGGCCACCAAGGCATGACAAGAATGTAAACCTGGAGGAGGATGAAGAAGATAACCGTCACGTGCCACGATTTGAATTCCGTTCGTCCCAGACCGGCGCGCTTCCGGCGAACGCGGATGAGGTAGACTCCAACTGCCATCGCGAAGTGGAACAGACCGTCTGGGTAGGTCTTCAAGCTGATTACTGCGGAACTGTGAGTACTAGCGGCCTTCCATCAGAAACAGAGATGCTCACCAAATTGGAATGCATCTCCAGCTGGAGGTGCCGCAATCATGATGAAAGTCATGATCCATTTTAGGAAGTACGGTCCAATTGGGGTTCCGAAGGGTTTGGTGTTCACCCAGAACGCGGTCCATGGGAGGACACCTTGCCTGAGGTACTGTTAAATCTTGACCAAATATGACTCTATTGGGGGGTGCATACCTTCCGATCTCACGGATTACGCGGGAAGAGCCAATCAGCACACCTAAGAGATTGCCGAAAGCACTGAGTAGAACAAGGAAATTCAGCGCCTGCTCTGCGGGCCCGGTCCCGAACACCTTGGTAAAGAAGACCGCAGCAGCAATCTCCTTTGCAGTTTTGAATTCAGCCTTGGGTACTAAGAGACAACGTTAGCCAGAATCAAGATGATTAGATGAGGTCCATCGTACCGGCAGCAAAGTAGGCAACGTTGCAAAACATGTAAAGCACAGCCACAACCACCACTGAGATTGTAGCGTGTCGCTTTAAGACAGGGATCGGGTTCTTGATCTCGTTCACGACATTGAAAGCGTTGCTATAGCCGGTGTACGAGAAGATAATGTTGACAAGCGCTGTAGCCAGGTCGTTGCCATTATCCGTAGTTCCTTCAAAGGAATTGCGGAAGTTAGCATTGGGATCGGGAATGTGACCGACATGGCCGCCGAGAACAACGAGTCCAGTGATCGAGATGAAGATAAGGGTAATGATCTTGATCGCGCCGATGATGTTTGTTGCCCAAAGAGAGTATTTGTTGTGAGCGACAACGCATATGACGGCAAAGGTGTATGCGGCGATCGCAACTCCCTTTAGTTCCCACGCGGAAGGCGTCTTCCCTGCAATTCGCCAGAGGTATCGTGACAAGACTGTCTCATGTTAGCAGACGTAGTTGAAGATACGTTGAGATTCCAATGATTTCATACCAATTGCATTACTGCTACTGAACGAAAGAAGAACGGACTGCACCGCAAATGCGATAGGGAAGAAGTGTTTCGGCCGAGGATAAGCTTGCTCCAGGTACACTACCTCCGCACCACTCCGATTGGGAAAATAGCTAGCCAGCTCGAGATACACGCTCAGTCCTGCGAGAGCCATAAGGAAGCCTATTGTCCAGTAAATGAAGGCTAGGCCTACGGATCCAGTGCCATTGAGGACGGATGCAGCTGTGGCGTTCAGATTAGTCTTGCTCCCGTTTGCCTGGGGGATGATCGGTAGCCATACGCGTTGAGAAGATACCAGTGCCAATCATTTGGTTTACATTCAGAAAAATGACAGTGATCCAACCAACGTGGTATCCGAGAGGGGAGTGTTTCTCGACGGGTGCCCCGACAGCCTCCTGGTATGCCGGCTTGGATCCATTTCCTCCTTTCGCGAGAGTGTAGGCGAGATCTCCGTCTCTGATGATGGAGTGCTCAGAATCGGAAGCCTCGACGTCGACTGAACCGCGCTCGTGTGTTGTCGCATTTGGACCCCCAAACCTTGAAGAAAGCTTGGAGAACATCATCATTCAAAACCTGCGATCCGGTAGCTTGGTACACGTTGAATGTAACTGGAGAACTGCTCCACTGATTAAGCGTGCGGGATGGCTGAGACGACCTCAGCTTCGGAAGAGAGCCGATCGCACGTTATCGAAGGCGAAAGATGGCGTATTGCGGGGACGAGGAGAAGGAACCACAAGTGAACCACACACCAGGTTCCTGCGTTCCACCGCTCCATCTTTAAACATCGCCTCAGCCGTCCATCGTTTCTCTATTGAATCGTCTGGATTCGCGAGCCTGTGGAGGTTACTTCAATGCCAAGTGCCAACAGAACTGCCCAGAGTCGCGAAGATGGGGCGCAAATGGCACAATGCTTCCTTTTGAGCAGCAAATGCCAGACATTTTGATTGATACACGAGGGTAGAGGGTACTGACCTTCCTGTATCAGCCAGAGCCAAGAAGCACGCAATGCTGGCTGATCATGACGACCGTTGCAGCTACACTAACAATGCGGGCGCCCGGTCGCAGTGCCGGGGCTTGTAATAAGCTACTATCCAACTGTATCCTTATCCCAACCCTTGCTATCGCCCCCATCCGATAGGACCACATGGCCGTCATGAGGGTGAGTGTCACCTCTCGTCTTCGGTGCCCTGTAACCAGAGACGATAGCTCGTGTTTGGAAGTCTTGGCGGCCCTTGTCGAGGCACCGAAGAAAGGTCTTCGGCTGGCGGGCTGTCTCATGCCGAGAATTCGGGCAGGGCAGTTTGCCACGTTTTCTCTGCCTTACAAGATTCTCTTTACGACCCGTGCTTACTGATAGGCTGCAGGGAAATGATTCTAGGGTTTTAATTGAGGAGCAAACGGCCGATTCCGAGATCAGTCATGCTCTGGATATTTATGGCATGCAAATCCTCTATATCGCCTCATCAATCCCGCCCCTTACTCTTGTTTCCTTCGCTTCGGATGAACGGTTCAAGCGGAAATACCTGCGCCTCGGGTGTGACCCCATCATAAAGCTGTCCCCAACGTTCCTTCAACGGCCCAGGCGTCTCCCATGCATATTCAGGATCGCGAAGCCATTGCCTCAATAAGTGGCGCCTGCAAACAAAACCGTCAGTCTCGCCAGACGCATTTGCTATCTTGACTCGTCACTTACTGTTGGTCTTGAGTATCGGTGAAACCATCGCGGGCGTGGAAAATTCCCATGTTGTTGGCGTACTGGATATCACCCTTCTGAAAGTCCAAAGAGACAGCGAACTTTTCTCCGAGGAAGTGTAGTGTGTCAAGCGCCTCGGCCTGTGCTTCGCTGATGGGAGGGATTTCTGCACTTCTTGGAAGTGCGCCGTAGCCGACGAAGTAACGACGCGCGTACTGTACAGCCAGGCGTTCAGGAGTTGTTGCTGTGGCAGGCTGATAGTGGACAAGTGGCCGAGATGTGAACGACTTTTGAGGCGTTCCAAAGCTGGGCGGTCATAATGATCAGTAACTGTGTGTTCCATAGGTAGTAACAGGAACACTGTATGCGAGGGTTTGGGCATAAATTTTGGTTGAGTAAGATATGGGCAATGGGTAATGGGTAATGGGTAATGGGTAATGGGTAATGGGTAATGGGTAATGGGTAATGGGTAATGGGTAATGGGTAATGATGGATACCCATGGGTATGATGTTCATGAAGTCATCTGGTCATGAACAGACCAAGTCCAGGCGAAGGGCACAGCCAAACTCACACTTCGAATTGCCAGTCTTGGGTAAGCGTATGAATCAGATCAGGACGCGTCTTGGCGATCTCGTTGTAGACCCGGGCAATACTCGCCAATTTGCTAGTGCCGCCCTCGGCGGCCGTTGAAAGCGCAAAAAGGGAGACGATGTCGCCCGCGTCCGTGTGGAATACCTGCTTGTCTGCTGTGTATGCTGGGCTGCCGATTTGACCCTTCTCTTTCGTGAGGGTCAGATCCTTGATGTGGGTAAGCACAACGTCGGCCGGCTTGCCATCATACTGCCTATCTTGACGACCACGCTGGGATGCGATGTGAGAAGAAAGACCGGCGTAGATTATGATGTTTTCTTCTCTTGTATGTTCGTCGACCCGCAGACCCCGAATCACAAAGAATCCGTGCCCGTTGTGCAACTCGTGAGAAAGCTTCCGGAGCTCAGAGTGGAGCTTGGGTAATGGGAACGTCTCCTGGTTGATGTGACCAAGAGCTAATCCCAAGGCTAAGTCCATGTCAGCCATGCAATCAGTCAATGAGGAAAGCTAGTTCCCTACATTTTAAATGAGCTAGGGCTGCATCCAGCTCGTCCAGTTGCTCGGTACTGAGCACATAGGTCCAGTCATAGTCGTTGGCCAGGGTTGACCCTTCCCACACCAAGTCATTCTTGAATTGTGCAGGCAGACCCTCCGGCAGGGCTTTCGGGAGATCGCGATCTTGGATCCGGCTCGCCACACGGGCCTGCCACTTCACTCGGTCCGGGGCATACTGGATGTCCGGCTGGACCGGGCGGGCGATGGTAACAGTAGCCATGTTGCACAATCTTTGACGTTAGCTGGTGCGAGATCCCGAGATAGTAAGAGCCTTTGCCACTAGCGATTTTCAATTGACTCAGATTATTCCTTTTAAACCATGGGGAAATTGAGTCGGAGTGGTGCCGCCAATTACGAATGTTTACCGGCGATGGCGTTATTCGGTTCCTTGATGTCGTGCCGCGGAGAGGGTGGGGAAATCGTTGCCGAGCGGACAGAGGCCGACCGATCTTTAGATGGCGCGGGGCTTAACCACTCACGTGCGATGTGATGACCCGGGTTTCATCAGAAAACGGCAGGCAATTGGCTACGTTCGTCCATGAAGGTCTCGCACACATACGCTATAGCGCGACAAAGCTTCAATAAGGGGAAAGTCTGAAGATGTTGATACACACTACTGAGAGAAATCGCTAGACAGGATACAAACTTCACCCGAGGCATTTCTCTAATGCCATTAATGAGGACTATTTTGTCATCTTATCCTGCTCTTGTTTCCATTTCTCGCCAAGCTGCTTCACGTCCTCGTTGTTCGCTATGATGGCCTCTTTAGCGCCGGGCCAAGTCTTCCGGCCCCTCCCGGTGTCGAACAGACGGAGCAACGGCGGCGAATTGACCCCATCCGTAAGCAAGTTATAGAACTTTCGATCTTTCCACCAGAGCTTCCATGCGTCAAGGCTGAAGCATAGCAGGCGATTAGTCACCCCGGTACCGGCAATTTTGTTCAACCAGATGAAGGTGTCACTGCCGAACATCCGGGCACCCATGTGCGGCACCGGCCCGCGCCCGAGAGTCTCCACAACCATGTCGTAGTGGGCATCGATGTCTCGCGTCATCTCCTTCTGGTCGGGGATCGGCGCTTGACCGGACCAGAGACTGCTCAGTGCCATCGTTGCAAGATCGTAGACCACGAATGGAGGGCCCATGATGAGAAAATGCCCGAGCACGGCGAGAGACTCCGGGTATTGCTCAGAGATGAATCCGCGATAAAGACGGGGTAGGGTGTCGTGAGGGTCCTTGTACTTGGCCGCATTGATCCGCTTGTAGTTGTCGGGGGCCTTCTTGGCGTCGGTGGGGTTTCCGGCGCCTTTGATGAGGGAGAAATCGTAGTGGTATCCGGAACAGACTACGATGGCATCGATATCGTCAAGCACGGTACCGTCAGTCAGGGTGACAGACTTGGGTCCTGTGATCTCCTTGACTCCCATAACCGCCTTCACTGAGCCATCCCGAAGGTTATCCGCCAGGTCGTTGGAAAACGTAGGGATGCGATGCTCGACTCCGTCCAATTTACGAGGGGACATGAAAGACGGATGCTTGTCAAGCCAAGGGAATGCTTTCCTACGGGCGCTGACCATAGCTTTCGAGAACAGCATTGCGCAGCCTCTGGGCCACCAATCGCCAAGGGTTCGGATAATTGTCATTGCTCGCAGAGACATCGTATGGTCGAAGGCTTTGCCGTTCATCATTCGAGGCAGCTGTTTTTGATCGATGGTCAGCTTTTGACAACATCCAGATTGGGTGTATCGTCTTCGATTCATACCAAGTAGTACTGGCCGCGATGACTGAGGTAAATCGTCTTCGCGTTGGCCCTTTTCAGAAATGATTGTGTATCAACGCCTGTGGCTCCGACGCCCATAATGAGAACATTCTTGCCCTCATAGTGATTGGGCTCCTTGAAGTCGCGTGAATGCACGGCCTCTCCTTCGAACTTCTCGATCCCCTTGATGTTTACGTCAACAGGCACATTGAGAATGCCGGTCGCGATGACTATGCGGTCAAACACTTGCTGTTCCTCGGCCGTGCCTTCAACGTCTGACTTGGTGCTGCGGGTGTAAATGATCCACTTTTTGGCATGATCATCGCGCTCGATTTTGGTAACCTTCGTCGAGAATTGTACGTGGCGCTTCAGATCAAAGTTGTCCGCGTATGCCTCGAGGTAACGCTCGACGTCCTTCGCGGGTGGATGAGTAGGGACATCTAAATACCAGGAAGTCAGTACGTAACGAGAATTTGATGGAACACGTGTATACCTACCCTTCGGGAAAGGGAAGTCCGTGTAGTGGCACTGATAATCTCATAAGCTGGTGCTCACCGCGGCAAGATAGGAACCGTGGAAAGTAATCCTTACAGTTTGTTTAGAAGTGTTGAATGATGTCCAGGGAAGCGCAGTGGTCTGCCCCTTCCTAGGGCTGAGATGCCAGTTTCCGCCGATGAATCCGTTTTGCTCGATCGCGGTGACTTGCAGACCTTGCTCGATGAGGTTCTTCATCGCAACCAATCCAATCATGCCAGTACCAATCACAGCAACATGACTCCCAACCGTGGAATGTGACTGAGACGAATCCATCTTATTGGACGACAGTGAGGATCACCAAGCAGCTCAAATCATACATAAACTCCTCGGATAAACGTGTAAGACACTTCGAGTATCCAAAACGGACAAATAGACCGAAATACCAACACGTAGGTGCACAACCGCCTCCTGGACTGGGACATTGGCTCCCTTTATCCAGAAGCTCTCCGTAGCTACCTGACGTCTTTCCGCCATGGCGATACAAGGTCATTTCCCAATCCGGATAGCTATCTGACACAGGGCTCGGAGACATTTTCCACCAGGTGTCGGCGACTTCTTGGTCCCCAGCCATTGGTGGACGTGGATCCTTCAAGCCACTCAGACAGATGTTGCCCGCACGTTAGGCTGCCATACAGCCTCTGCCAATTTGAATGACTAGCACAGCGCCATCTCTGCCACAGAAGCATGGTTCTGCAGAAGGGTCGACCCCATGTCAATGAAGCAGGGCATAGTCCAATTGGATTTGGCAGTGATAGACACCACTATTGTCAAAAAAAGGGTCTTTCGTAGGGCTTACGCAGCGCGTAAGCAGCCCAAGGATCTGGCTCCGACCCACGCCTTACTTATTGCAATTTGGGTTGGAAATGATTGGCTCTCCCTCATTTCAGAATGGAACTTCCGCTGCAGTGGAAATACTTCGCAAAGACGTGGGCTGGAGGAGCGCGGAGTATTCTATGCCGTCGCAACCATCCCGTACCAGAGCATCAGCAAGCCCTAAAACTCCGCATCCGCAAACCCAGCGGGCTACTATCGTTACTAGATCCCTTGATTCGACCTTATCCCGGTATGATGTCGGCGGATGAGCGAGATGAAAGCCCGACCCCACTTGTTCACTGCGGACTTTCCATTGCCCATGGACATTGCGTGTGCGGGTGAGCGTCTCTGAAATGGAACCATTCCACGTTGTTCAAAGGTCCCATGCACCCTTTGAATTACTTTCAACTCCGCTTAGATCCCACTCGATTGGAACAGAGCAACTTCAAGCATCAACGCCGTACGGAACAGATCATTCCACTTTCCACTTATTACCTTTCCTTGATAATCTATGCCGCTTGACCAGAAGGCCTTGTTGCCAGACTATCCCAATCGTTTTCAGGAATTGCATTGAGTCTGAGAGCCTTGAACCGCAAGTAGTCAGTGAGGTAAAGGTAGTCTTGCTTTGACCCATGTAAGATCATGTTATTGACTTGATACCTTCTCAAGGATGTTGATGATAGACACGTACAAGTCCATAGGCTTGGTAGTAGGGCAGCACCACCTCGTTGGTATTTTGCGCCGCGAACCAGACGACTGCATTGTCTAAAAAAGCACAGACAACATCCTCGTTGTTTGGTTCATTCCGAAGCGTGTTGATGAAGGTGTCGCTAATCCATATCAGCCAACTCGAACAATAAGTGATGTATTCTACTCACCCGCCGTCATTTTTGTTAAAAACATCAGGTATCTCTCGTGGAGGAACACCTTGGCCTGCTTGAACAGCATCAAGGTTTATTTCTATCATCGCCAACGAGATCCAGGCGGGGACATGTGGTGAAGTTATGTGAAATAGTCCGTTGAAGGAAGACAGAGACATGGCCGAGCAGGAAGAGGGCTTCGATGTCAAGACACAGGAGTGCGTGTAAAACGTTGAACATTTGCAAAGCTCATGACAGCTTTTATGTGACGGCGAATGCTCACTGAAGAATATTGGAAGCATAGAATCACCAATCAAGGGAGCCGCGGTGAATTAAACTACACACTGGCCATTGCGGATGAAGCGCAGGGAAACCGTACGTACATGATGATAAGAGACAGTGGGACATCTTGCTTAAGCATTGAACCACAGCGAAAGTTGCAATAGGGTACGAGCTTCTGCGCACGTACTACAACCAACGTCCATACTCTATTGCTGTAGGCGCTCTTGTTCTACAGCAGCAGCTGTGGTGTTATTGAAGGCTGGCTAGGACCTCATGCAACATGTTGGAAGTACAGATAGGCGAACTGCATCAGCAGGTGTACAGGCCTGAAACATGAATGTGAGGACGCATAATGCCACATGCCAAACGCATGGATATATATTGAATAAAATATTTTCAATTATTGTATCTCATCCTTTGCTCGAAAGGACCCTCAACGCGAGGTCCGCATCTGGTAAATAACCAGGGCATATGTCTTTGCTCAATAGTCAACTTTGAAGACAATCTTCTCAGCCGATATCTTTCCGTCTCTGTTAAGGTACATGGCCTGTGTGATTGTATTGGGACTGAGGCTGCCAAATATATTCACACTCGGAGATCTCAAATCTCCCTCATCAAGAAGCTTGGGAAGCTGATCATGAAGGTCTATGCTCAGTTCGTGATTTGGGATGTTGACCTAAAACAAGTCTTATTAGCAAACAATGTCATGATTCTAGCCTGTCTCTACCTATTCTATGAGACACACGAGGTTGACGTACCGGCCAGTGTGCCTTTGCGCGATAGGTATGCGCTGTTGGGAAGGCTGTGAAGACAAAAACGTCGGAGACCTCAACTGTCGATGGCACGTTCTCCGTGTTGGCTTTGCCTGGACGAACGGTGCATAGGCGACCAGTAGAGTCTTTGAGCGCCTTTGATGCAGTGGCCGAGGACGTGGCATTGCCAATTGTGTCGAACACATGTTCCAGGTTCGGTACAGCTTCTCGAATACGTGCGATTGCTTGCTCGTCGTTATAGTCAATTACGTGGGTAGCACCGGCTGCTTTGACCCTGTTAAAGTTACGAGGGCTACATGTGGTGATAACCTTATAGCCGTGTAGCTTGGCAAGCTGTATGGCAAAGTAGCCAACAACAGCTTTGACGATGTCAGTCCTCTTCGCGATGTCCTTGGAGATATGGATGCTCACACCTTCCACCCCAGATAAGAATCGGGTCTCCATTTGAAGAGTTTCTCGGAAGGCCGAGGCAGTCCGGGGAGAACAGCGCAAGCCAAGCTGTGTTAGCCGCAAGAGGAACTGTACTTGCCTCCGCAGCGCTGATCCTTTCTGGGATCTGAAACGATAGTCTTTCATCCGCGATAGTATGCGTGCTGAGAAGAGAAGATTCAGTCTTCATTCGCCTGAGCTCTGCTGGGCGCGAGAAGAGGAACTCACGAGTAAGCCCCGAGACCAGGAGTCTCTCCTACAAAAGCATCAGAAATGGTTAAATGGAGTTCATGTCGGCTCACACCGGGAAATGCACATACCGCCCCAGATGAAGCCGGCGATTCTACTGCCCTTGGCGAACTTGGTCACGCTGGGATGAGCTTCCACCACCTCTCCGGCAAAGTCGCAGCCCAAGACAGCGCCGTCACCAAATGCATTGACATCGAGAGCCAGCCCTACTGCCAGTCAGTGTGAGGGGGTTTGAAGACATTATGGGTGTCGCGTACGGTCTGTGGGGTTGAAGGCCGCATGGTTGACCCGAACATAAACCTGATGTTCCTGGAGGAGGGGCAGGTCGACTTCCTTGGCGGCGAAGGACTTGCCCTCCTGAACAATTGCATTGGCACGCATGATCAGGAACCGGGGTATCGAGACTAATTGCTGGCGCTAAAGTTGTCGCTGAGCTGCAAACAGATGATACTCGTTTCTTGAGGCGGGGTCGACTTCGGATGGTAATTCCGATACAGCGCATCTAATAGCGCGGTCAAGACACGCCCTTGACGCCCTTGCTGCGGGGCCGAGGATCGGCCCCTTCACTTGGGCGCAATGTCAACGCCACTTCAAGGCAAGAATGTGGCTGTACCGTGATTCGCTTTTGCTGTCATCATTTCATGGTCAATTTGATTCGTCGATAAAAGGTCGGCCATAGCATCACCATCTCAACCGATTTTAAACTCAGCAGCAACCACTACGAAGTCTCCAGCGTCCATCATTCACCCCAAGCACCAACATGTCGCAACAACCTCTCTGCCGCGTTTCTGTTCCCGAAGGAAAATACGAGTTTCTTTGCATCATTCCAGACAAGCCAGGAACTCGTGAGAAACGCATCGAGGTCCGGTCGTGAGTATCTGCCGGCACTATTACTGACTCTGGGGTGCATCAGCTAACTTTGCCATTGCTAGCCAGCACTTCGCTAACGCCATGCCTTTGATGGAGAGTGAAGTCTGGAAAACAGGCGGTATGAATATCCTCCCTACTAAACCATCCATATTTGTGTGGCATTCGACTAATATCTCGATCAGGTGCCCTCTTGGACAGTGTTCCCAAGAGCGACGATTCGGATGATATGTCTTTCGTTGGCAGTCACGTCGTTGTTGTTGGCGACTCAATTGAACAGGTGCGCGAGGACCTGAGGAAAGACGTCTATGCGACTTCTGGTGTTTGGGACGTAGAGAACGTGAGTGAACCATACTCGCGACATAACGACGATTTTGATCATGCCTTTAGGCTCAAATCTACGCATTCCGCGCTGCGTGGAGAAACCCCTGAGAATTTCTCGTGATAAAATTGCCCAGCTCTCATGATGAACGCATGTCAATCTTGAGGGATGGAAAAGGAATAAGGATGCAGCAGAAAGAGGCAGATAGATAGGTATTAGGCACTAGGCGAAACTTCCAGCACTGCGGTCGGGGTGGGGCCGGCCTCCGGATTGCGGTTCTTGGGCTGCTACTTCACGAATATCAAAGCTTTTTGTCTTTTCCAATCAATGTTGCACAAAATTTTACCTATACATCAAGACTTTGGCAGTCTCTAGCTTGTGATGGGCTCACGAATGCCAGGCCACGCTGCTCAATCGGATGTACGTTAAGGGATGTGAAGTGGATCCAGAGCCCAGCGAGCATTTCGCCTAAATCCTGCAAAGACAACGATAGATCTGATATCAGTTGATCTTGATCGGTTCGCTCGAAAATTGATTCCCTTCTGAACCTTGAAATCTTTACTCAGAAGCGATGCCTTTGGGGACTTTCGGCAAGTTTAT